AAGGGAAGGGAAGGGAAGGGAAGGGAAGGGAAGGGAAGGGAAGGGAAAAGCCTGCAGGGCTCCTCCAAGGCTCTCCCACTGAAGGGAGCAGCAGCATCAGGTGCAGCCCCAGAGCTTCAGCAGCACGAGGAACACGTTCAGCAAGTGACAAAACACCAAATCCTGGTTCACAAACCCTTTGGAGCCAAAGCCTTTCCACGGACATCACAGACTGAGCTCCGAGATGAAAACACGCCCTGACAGCTCTGAGGCAGCTCCCCAAGGATCAGAGGCTGCTTTGATAGAAAGAAAATAGGCTGGTTCATTAGGAGCCCACACAGAGAGGAGAGTTTTTCACCAGCCAAGCCCATCATGTGAAGCAGTGACCTCCAGGAACACACGACGTGCAGGGGGACGAGGCTGGGCAGGGGTGGGGAAGGAGCATCTCCAGGAGGGAATCACAGAGCAGATCCTGCCCTGGAGAACTCTAATGACTGTCAGAAACCACTTAGAGACAGAGGAGGGGGTGGGGAGGGAAGGGTCACCTGCAGGTAATGACAAGGAAGGAAATAAAGAGCTGCTCAAACACTGATGAGTCTTCCAAGCTCTCTTCCCCCCAAGCTCAGCTCTCTGCAGGAGCACAGAACAAGAGGGAACTTCTGAAATGCTGTTCCAGGAAGGGCTGGTGGCTCAAAGGGGTCTCCAGCTCCAGAAAGGAAGATACAGAATTCACCAGAGGAACTTTAAATGCAAAGGTCCTCAGTTCTCACCCTGGTCCCTTTTGTTGTCACCCATTGCTCAACATCTGTACAAAGCACCTCTGGGGCAGAGCAAGATGCAAAATAATACACATGCACATGGTAGGACAGGTTCCTTTATCCAGGAAATCAGGGGACAAAATTCCACACAAATTAAGTGGGAAAATAGTCCTCAGGGGGAGGGAAAAAAAAGTATTTGTGCAAGGGAGGGAAATACAGCTCCAAGGCTGGAAAGGCAAAATGGAGGTGAGACACTGAAGGGGAAGAACTGAATCCAGACAGGAATAAACTCCATGGATTTGGCAGCTCCCCACCTGCAGCCCCACTGCATTCCCTCAGTAGGGGATTATTAACACCAAATCAAGGGAAAAAGAAATGGTTCCCGGGGGGGAATGACAAGGGAAGACTCAGGGAGTGGGAGGGCAGTTGGGGTGATGTGAGAGATGATGCAACCCCCCCAAAACACACAACCCAAAGAGGCTCTGAGTAGTTTTGATCTGAATCCCACGACACAGCAGCACCTTCCCAACTGAAATCCCAGTCCCTCCCACCAACTTGGAGTCTCATCAGCCACCACAGGCAGTTGCAAAACACAACACGAGTTCTGGAAGCTCTGAAAAGCCTCATTATTAAAGAAACCATCCACATCTTAGAGTGAATTTCCCATCTAAGAATTAGAAACATCTCAGGAACCTTCCAAACTTGGAGTCTCATCATCCATCACAGGTAGTTCCAAAACACAACACAAGCTCTAAAAGAGCTGAAAAGCCTCGTTATTAAAGAAACCATCCACATCTTAGAGTGAATTTCCCCATCTCAGAATCAGAAACATCTCAGGAACCTTCCAAACTTGGATTCTCATCATCCACCACAGGCAGTTGCAAAACACAACAAAAGCTCTGAAAAGCCTCATTATTAAAGAAACCATCCACATCTCAGAGTGAATTTCCCCATCTCAGAATTAGAAACATCTCAGTCCCTCCCACCAACTTGGAGTCTCATCATCCACTACATGCAGTAGCAAAACACATCATGAGGTGTAAAAGAGCTGAAAAGCCTCATTATTAAAGAAACCATCCATATCTTAGAGTGAATTTCCCCATCTCAGAATCAGAAACATCTCCTGAACCTCCCAAACTTGGCCAGCCAGAGCTGTCCCGGGCAGGCAGAGCAGGAGCTCGTTAGTCTGAGCTCATGGAACTCGTTCATTTGGCAGAAGCAGAGGCTTCTAAAACGCTTTCAGTGGTGGAACAAAACAGCCAAATGCTGTTCTGGGGGGAGGAGGTTGTGGCAGCTGCTCACCTGGCTCAGCAGGGCAGGCAGGAGCTGGCACTGCCTCCCTTCCCTCCCTCCTGCTCTCCAACCCAGCAGCACAAAACAAACTTTCTGTGGCAAACATTAAACTGCTTTTCCCAGGCACTTGAAATTCTCTGCCCTGGAGGAAATTTGGCTCTGCACAAACACCTTTTTTACCTCCAGCTACAGTGGGATGGCTGGAAGAACCTTCCCTGCTGAACACCTGGTTATAGCCAGGAAAACACACACCTGAGCTGAGTCAATGGCTGTAAACACAGAGAAAATTGGATTATTAGTCATTTCCTGCAGCACCACCTCGGCTGGCAACAGCAACATTATTGTGTCTGAGATGAGACACAGAGCCCAGATGAGCTGGAGGAGATCTGAGCACCTGACAGGGAGAAGTGCAGGAGACACAAAACCACATTGTCACTGTTTAAACTGCACCAAGGGAATGCAGAGCTCCTCCTGCTCCACAGGCAAAGCAAAAACCTCCCAGAAAGTCACTCTGAGCCAAGCAAGGGCTGCCCAGCACAGCCCTGATCTCCCCAGTCCTTGAGGGGGGACATCCATGAGGAGGTGGGAGAGGGGTCAGGGGGGACACAGGGATCAGGAGAGATGCAAGGGTCAGGAGGGATGCAGGAATCAGGTGGGACACAGGGATCAGGAGGGAGAGGGGTCAGGATGGACAGAGGGATCAGATGGGATAGAGGGATCCAAGTGGGACACAGGGATCAGGAGGGACACAGGGAACCAGGTGGGACAGAGGGATCCAGGAGGGACACAGGGATCAGGTGAGAGAGGGGTCAGGTGGGACACAAGGATCAGGAGGAACAGAGAGATCCAGATGGGAGAGGGATCAGGTGGGACAGAGGGATCCAGGTGGGATACAGGGATCAGGTGGGACACAGGGATCCAGGAGGGACACAGGGATGAGGAGAGTTGCAAGGGTCAGGAGGGATGCAGGGGTCAGGAGGGACACAGAGATCCAGGTGGAACACAGGGATCCAGGAGGGACAGAGGGATCCAGGTGGGACACAGGGATCCAGGTGGGACAGAGGGATCCAGGTGGGACACAAGGGTCAAGAGGGACAGAGGGATCAGGTGGGACAGAGGAGTCAGGAAGGACACAGAGATCCAGGTGGGACACAGGGATCAGGAGGGGGAGAGGGATCCAGGTGGGACCCAGAGCTGCAGCCACCCCTGCTGAGCTGCAGGACCCACATTCCTGCCACCCCAAAGGGAGTTTTCCATCCCCTCACCCCAAACATCCCCCATTAACCGATCTCAGGGCTCCCAGGAAAACGAGCAGATCAAAGGCAGCGTTTTAAACCAAGTCAAACCTCCCCAGAGCTTCAGAGCAGCCCCTGAGGGCAGAGGAGCTGGCACACGTGTGCCCCAGGGCAGGATCAGTGCCCCAGGGCAGGATCAGTGCCACCAGGACCAGCCGGGGGGGGCTGCATGGCCTCAAACAGCGTCTGGGGATGGTTTAGGGGCTCAGTTTGAAATATTTTGGCATTAAGCAGGGAGAGGAGCTTCAGGCAGGTGCCCCAAGCAGCCCTAATGGGCAGATATTCCTGAGGGATTTGCAGAGCTCTGAGCAGAGCTGGCACAAAGCTGAGCACAGCTCAGGCCTCCAGCCTCAAAGCTGCTTTTTGGGGGATTTTCTCCTTTTGCATGTGTTTAGAGGGGAAAAAATGTCATTTATCCTTTTGGATCTCTCAGCCAGGACAAAGTGATGGGGAAGAAAACCCCGAGTCTTGAAGACAAGAAGGAGTCTGGGGGTGAGGATGTGAGAGAATCCCACACTGGGCTGGGTGGAAGGGACCTTAAAACTCATCCAGGGATGGTCAGGATGAGGACCCCATCCAGGATGGGATGGTCAAACCCCAAAGGAGGACAGGGCAGCTCCTGCCATCCTTCCAATTTTTCCTTCCAGCCTGACAGGCTCATCCTCACCCTGCTCCTTCCTCCCCCTCCTCTTCTCTCCTCAGTGGCAGAATTTTCTTTCTCACCTGTCAAAGCAATCCAGCCCCAAAGCCCCCTGACAGAGGCTGAGAGAGCAGCTAAAAGAGCTGTAAATGTGTTATTTTATTAATATGGCTCGAGCAGCCCCCTCAGCCTCCACTGCTCTGCTCAGACCTGCAGAATTCCTTTCCCTTGGAATGCTCACGGCAGGATTCACATCCAACAGGTTGGGGAGCCAGGGAAGCTCAGAGGAGGATTCTCCAGGGAGGGAGAATCAACACGTGGCACTTAAAGGCAATTAAATCAACCTGGCTCGTAAAAAAACCAACAAAACATCCATTTTTAAAGAGGGGAGGATGAATAATAATAATAATGCAGATTTTTATAAGTGCAGGTCAAGTCAAGGTTACTTGAAGTGCTGAGTTAATGGTCTCATAAATACCACCATTAGATCACATTCCATAGCTTGGAAATGCATGGGAATTATCCCCCAGATGAGATTTAATTCTGTTTATTTGTGCACAGCTCCGGACATGACTAAAACTGCTCATAAGGCTTAGGAAATGAAATATTTTAGCTGGGAGATACTTCAATAGGGGGGTTGAAATTTGGCTGCAAGTCTATCTGCCATATTACCAATAATTAAAACCAGGTTTTCACAGGCAGAAGGGAGGAAAAAAAAAGGGTTTCAGCTCTATTTTCATGCTGAATCATATCAACATGTTTAAAGAGGAGATAGGAGTGCCAGGTTTTTGGTTTTTTTTTATTTTTCCCCCTACGGGCAAAAAAAAAAAAAAATTATTGAAAAATGAGTCATCTGAATTTAATTATCGGGCTCTGAAAAATGAGATTCCAAATCAGGCTCTTTGTAATTCCGCTTACGGGACTGCCAAGTTTCCTTCAGGAATATTCAGTGGATTGGACTGGTGGGTTTATGTCACCCCTGTGGCACCATAAAAATGAGAGATGGGCCTCAAAAGGCAGGAGCAGCTCCTTCTTCCCCCCAGCCCTGGGTGGAAGTGGGGTGGGCTGAGTTTCACCCAGGGTTCCATTTGCTGGGGCCATTTTTATAAAAAAAGTTCTTCCCTGCTGTGCTTAGGGGTGGTTTATTAATTTATTTTTATTTTTTTTCCCCAGCAGGTTCGCTCTGACAGGCTTTGTTTGCTTTTTTTTTTTGATGTGACAAGACACAGCCTTGCACTGGCAACACCTCCGGGCTTGAATAATGTTTCTTAACCAGCTCCATCCATCTCTCCCACACCCCACAGGTGACTGAGCCTCACTGCAGCCCAGAATGGCTAAAAACTAACAGTGCCCTCAAATATTAATGCATCTAATCAAAGCAGGGAGGTTGTTGTGTTTTTTTTTCATCTAATTTTCCAAGGAGTCCTGGGAATGGCAAACAATTGGTCCACGGGAAATGGCAACTTCTCTCCCATCAATCCATCCTTAACATTCAAATCCCCTTCCCCCAAAACTGCCAGCAAATGGAAATTACTCCAATGAATGGGATTTGTGACAGAAACCCTCATAAATAATCACAATTTCCTTTCCTGTTGATAATCCCAGGCAACGCTTAAATATTGCAAACACTTAATTCTTCCTTTCCAGGGGGACAGTGGGTTTGGGATCAAACATCCCAAACCTTCCACTTGCTGCTGGTCAGGGCTTTTAACCATTTGTTGAGTTGATCACTGTGTCTGGGTCAACACATAAAAACAACATCAGGAACACACCAAATTCCTCCTGCAATTCCTTCCCCAAATTCCTCCTGCAATTCCTTCCCAAATTCCTCCTGCAATTCCTTCCCAAGTTCCTCCTACAATTCCTTCCCCAAATTCCTCCTGCAATTCCTTCCCCAAATTCCTCCTGCAATTCCTTCTCCCTCCCAAGCTCGTGGCCCTGCTCACTGGGGCAGCTCTTGTATATTGGAGAACATCCCCATGGATGATTTATTCTGAATAAAAGCAAATATTCCTGAGAGCACTGCTCACCCAACCCCTGGGATGAGAGGGGGGACTGGAATTCCATCCACAGCCTCCCATCAAAGGGACAAACTGAGCTGGTGAAACACTTGCCATAAGTTCATCAGCAGATTTAGCAGCAATCAGAAAAAAAATGCAGCAAAAGCAAGGGTTGAACACCACAATTGTTGAGGGGGTTTCCACGTGCTGGGTGTTTGGGTTGCTTGGGTTTTAATTCTGCCCAGCCACGAAACCTCCTTGCAGAAAACAGGATTTAAAGGAGCCAACAGTTCACCAAGCAAATCAAAAGCATCCCAGGGGGGTTCATTATAATAATATAATAATAGTAACTGGGAATTGCCCTGGTTCAGGCACAAACCCTTCCCTCTGTGCACACACAACAACCCCCTGGGGGCTCCGAGGAAGAAAGGCCAGGAGTGACCTACCAGAGCGAGGATCCCTCTGTCCCAGCCACTTCCAGAACATCATATCCATCTTCCAGCTGGAAATCCATGAAAACCAGAGCAATGGTGTCCCCAGGCTCAGCCAGGATAGTCCAGGTGCAGTCGGCGTTGTTCCCGTATTCCAGAGGGAAATGGGGGCTGGAGATGATCCCGCTCTGGCCCCGCAGGGTCCCCCCACAGGCATCATCAGCTGCAACAGGACAGAGAGGTCAGGGCTGGGAACCCCCAGAGCAACAAAACCCAGCCCCAGGTCAAAGCCGAGTGGCTGCAGCAGAGCTGAGCCCGTCTCCAGCAGAGATCCCAGTTCCCATGGAAAAGCCAAGGGCACCTTTCCCAGGTGGAGCCCCTGGAGTGGCTCCAGGAGCCCCCCAAAGCTGGGCTGTACCCACCACACAGTGATGAAGTCGTTGTAGGGCTGGTGTTGCCCAGGTGGGTTTTGAGCCCCCATCCTGGGGGATCCTCCAGGCCCAGCCAGGTTTTCCTGGCACATCCCAGCTCCCTGCCCACCATACCAGTGTATGGTGTATGTTTTACTCCCATTTTAACCCCCCCCAAGGGACAGAGTTGCTCCCCCCTCATTCCCAGCACAGCACATCCCCCTCTCAGGACATCGTTTCCCCCACTTGTTCTTGCCCAGGAATTTTCTGTTCCATCCCAGAGTCCCTGAGGTTGGAAAAGCCCTCCTAGATCATCAAATCCACCCTGTGCCCACCTTGTCCCCCAGCCCAGAGCACTGAGTGCCACCTCCAGCCCTTCCTGGGACACCTCCAGGGCTGGGGACTCCAAACCTCCCTGGGCAGTTCCAATCCTGACCACCCTTTCCATGGAGAAATCCCTCCTGAAGTCCAACAATCCCTTATCCCTGATTAGGATCCTCTGAGGTTTTTCCTGCAACTTTCCTCCCGTGCCTGTAGCCAGTCCAGGAGGAGGAAAAACCCCCCAGGAATTCAGTGGCTGGGGAGGGTTTCAGACACGTGGGGAGAGGTTGGTTTCCAGCTCAAACAGCTCAGAGGTTGGTTTCCAGCTCAGCACCTTCCTGATCCAGAGAACCACCCCCAGGGGTTGGGACAACAGGACTTGGGAGTACAAACACTGCATTTCATGGAAATCTGACACTAAAAGGATTGGAGCATCCCACACACCTGCCTTACATGTCTTTGCTTGCTCTGATTTCTTAAGGAAATTTATGTGGTAAAAACTTAACCCCTCATCCAGAAATCCAGCAGTGACAATCCCCTGCTCCTGGCACTGGATCTCCTGCTACAGGCCCTCTCCTGAATTTTTTGAGGAGGTATCAGAGCAACTAAAGGAGGAGGATCTAAAGAGAATCTGGTCTGGAAGGTAAAAGGGAAGAAGGAATTGAGTGGAGGAGCCCAGGGCAGCTCCGAGCAGCAGCTCAGCATTATTTGGAGCAGCACAAAGCAAAGCCTGTTAACTTTACAACGTGTAGCAGAGCTGCATTTCAGATGCTTTAGTCAAGGAGCTCGAGGCTTTACATGACAAACACTGATTTCCATTACAGGCTATTTTAAGCCAAACCCTCCCAAGCTGCAGTTTAGCAGAGCTGAGAACACGTGTCAAACACAGCGGGCCAGGAAGGGCAGGGCCATCCCACGGGGCTGCTCAGGGAGGATCCTCAGCCCTTCCCAGGAGCTCCTGTCCTGTGCCATCAGCAGGATGTGCCAGCAGAGCTGCATCTTGAGCTGCCTCCAACTAATGAAACTTGAAAGACAGAGCGTGGCACACACGGGCTGTGCCAGCCCCCTCCCTGCAGCCCATCTGCCGTGCCAGGGCCAGGCACAGGGAGAGCAGCAGGCACTGGAGAGCAGGAGGAACTGGAGGGCAGGAGGAACTGGGGAGCAGGAGGAACTGGAGAGGAGGGGGAACTGGAGAGCAGGAGAACTGGAGAGGAGAGCAGGAGGAACTGGAGGGGAGAGCAGGAGGAACTGGGGAGGAGGAGGAACTGGAGAGGAGAGAAGGAGGAACTGGAGAGCAGGAGGAACTGGAAAGCAGAGCAGGAGGAACTGGAAAGCAGAGCAGGAGGCACTGGGGAGGAGAGTAGAGGAACTGGAGAGCAGGAGGAACTGGAGACGAGAGCAGGAGACACGGGAAAGCAGGAGGAACTGGAGAGGAACTGGAGGAACTGGAGAGGAGAGGAG